GATAGAAGATGTAGAAAAGGCAAGTAATTCCTTGTACAATAAAATTAGAGGAAAATACAGTCTAATGGATCGTAATAATTAGTTGAAAGGCATCGGTACAGGAATGAGACACAGAATTGAAGGGTTTCTCTTAGAGGAAGCGCGGCTCAATGTAAGTTTACAAGGCTGTATCACTTTATAACCTTCATATAACACAATACAGGATGATAATTCTGTAAAAGAAGCTGTCGAAAGGCGGAAAGAGCTCTTAGACTCGATTACGAGCTTCCAAACACTTTCTGGTGTTGGGTACATAGGAACCAACTCATACAAGTTTTATACACTGAAATATTCGTATAGACCAATAAAAGCACAACAGTTTGCGGAGAAAAATGGCTGGAAAACGTCGGAGGATATCATCAAGGACAAGGCTTTCAAGAAACTATCAAAGCGCATTCAAACTGCTCTTCAATTTTCCTCAAAAACTCTCGATCAAGTATCTCATGAGGATGTCGAGAAGGTTATCACGTCCATTGCCAGTATTTTGAAGGATTTTGAAGTTTATGGCACCGGTAGTTTGTACGATTACCTCTGTCCGAAATGGGCAAAGCTAACGAGACGTTTGATAGTCGAAGAGGTTCACCTTACTCATCAGAGATCGAGATATTACTGTTTCACTCCAGGTTCAAAACAGCACTCTCTCCAGAGCAACGTATACACTCTAAAAGGACACGGAGTCTTGTAGACGTAACTTCGTTACTTCCTGGGGCTATTAGTCTGCTACAAGATTCCGAAATATTGGTTGGAGCACTTATCTCTAGCTCAACGCAGTGGCAGGGATATGGAACCCTAGGTAAAGGCAACGAGCAAGTTTGTAAAATAGAAATAAAGTGAGCATCGAGTCCCCTTTCAGTCTTATCGACCAAAATAGTGACCTAATTCAATAGGTTGGTGCCAATAGACGCCAAAGGCGCTGCACTTGTAACATATACCGGAGATAACGAGTTTTGCAAACATCTTCGCGGCAAGGCCCGCGATATGGGATGCAAATTAAACGCTAAAGGGCTTTGGAAGTATCCTGAATTTGTACAGTCCTCCCTAGAAGCGGAAGAAAGGTGGCAATTGATACCCACAAGGTCCGAAAGAGACGTCTTTGACTATCTCAACGAGGAATGGGTAGAACCGGACAAGAGGAACTTTAATCTTCTTGCGAAAGGGAGAAGGAAATGATTGGGAAAGAAGACCATTATTCTATCTATTAATTGATGAATTCTAATACGACTCTAATTATTCCTAGTCCTCCGATCTCGTTTGTGTCCAAAACATGAGGCGATTGCTGTATAAACCTGTAGCAGAATCTATTCTATGCTTCGTGCTCAAAGTCCTTTGGTCAGTCCTTTGACGTCGGGGCCTCTCGGAAGGTCGGCTTCAGCAATTTCCTTGTAACCAATGTTTTCACGCCCAATCTCTCTTACAAACCCATCTACCTCTTCTGTAGGACGGCCCTCCTGCTTCTTTTCGGGTTTATATTCCTCGATGACGGCCCGGAGCCATTGTAAAACGGGTTCCCTTATCCATCTTCGAACCTCTCCTCTCTTCTCTCCATCTTCAAACCACCCTAGGTGACCACCGCCAGGGGTGATTGCTACGGCGACATATCCGCTTGCTTCACAGGATGGTTCGTCCGGTCGCGGGATTACGCGAACAATCGGATCATCTTCTGCATTGATAGCCAGATACGGAACCTGTATTCCAGGAAGCTTCTGGTCACTACTAGCGTATTCGTAATAGTCCTTCGCACAAGGGAGGGGCCAAATGGGTGAGGAACCGCCAGTCTTGCAAACCAAGAACTCGTCAATGTCGATTAGCTTTGGTGACTTGAGTTCCATAATCTTGGGGTGCATTTCCATGAGGACAGACCCTTCGAACTTTTCCAAGGTTCCTAGGTGTGACTTGTAGAGCTTCAATAAGTTTTGACCCATAGCGGCGGAATATATGGTTCGATTAAGCCATTTCCCTTCGAGTCTAAAGACAAAATTTGGTCAGAAAAAGAGAAGAAAAGGAACATCGCACACACTTACTGTATACTATTCTGTACCAGATTCCATGGCTAAAGGAATTTCAGTCATCGTTCATATGCACACCTTGGGTTACATACACAAGCCAGAACGCAGCCTCCCACTAAACGACTAAGAGAACCTTCTTCGCCCAGATACCTGGTAATGACGTTTGCACCTAATGAGAAACCCATTCCAACGAGTTTGGCTTCAGGGAAGAGCTTGGAAATGTATAGAGCACCACAGGCGTAGTCGTCGCTACAGGCGGCTGAGTAGAATCGTGGAGAGGTGAGAGGGACACCTGCACATCCCCTGAAATTGATAACAACGCCTCGATAACCGAGACCTCCCTTGTCCTTTGGTGCGCAGGCCTTGGAGAGTATATGTCGAACATACGCCTCGTGTGAGCCTGGGAATTAGTCAGTGGTTCGTCGAGAAACCAGACTAGGGTCCTGCATTACCTCCAGTCAGTCCATGTTCTACAACTACGACTGGGGTACTTGGGTCCAAGTTTTCGTCCAGTGGTGGTGTGAAATCGATCCCCAATGTTCCACCATCTGGTAGTCTTATGTACTTCCTGAGAAATAGGTAAGTATGGTTTTCTATGAGACACAACAGGTTTGATACCTCTGGTATGTGACCTGGTCGATCTTGGAAAAGTCACCCATGACACAATATGCCGTTTGTGTGTGGCCACTAGGATCATCAGAAAGTCGCCTTCAAAGCAACAAAGGGAACGTACTTGGGCAACCACCAGCTAGGTTTGAAGCCAGAGAAGAGAGCCGGGCAATACTTTTGAACGAACTCGGCTATAGACACATTACCGGTCGATGTAGGGATGCTCGCAGTTTGTGGGCTGCAATGCAGAGTGGTCATTGTCGACGAAGAAACAAGATAGGAGAAAGGAAACATGATGGTTGAGGTTCAAGAGTGGACCGGAATGTCCACCGATAAAGCCACTTTGTGATTCTGGTGAGAGCTGCGCTGTATAGGACACGAGGCTCCTCCGGGAATCGGCCTATCTGGGTCTGTTACGTCATAAACATGCTCGAATATTTTAGCGATATTTTATTGCCGTTAATATATTGTTTCCATGTGTTATCGCCTAGACTATTTGCCAGAGAGTTTCAGGCGTTACTTGTTTCCGTCCAGATTAGTGGCTGTGCTTTTCCCGCAACTTGCCGTTCGCTACAAAGGTCCCACCGCAACTTTGACAGCAA